TACAAAGAAAACAATATGCAATGTATTAATTATTAAAACTGTCCTATTAATCAGTTTTGAAACTGTCTCATTGCTGTTTCTCAATAAAATTAAAAAAACATAAAAAGGAGTTCTTTTAAAATAGTACTAAAATACATGGTATCAAAGTAAAATTCACAAAATGGATTTATTACTCTTTAAAGCTCTCATCAAAATATACTATTAGTGGAGTCAAAGAGCAAATCTCATATTGGGAAAAGATACTTGAAATTCATATGATTCTAAACATGGGTGTCCACAATATGTGTATAAACTTCTACAAGTCAATATAAAAAACAAATAATCCTAAGAAATATAACTAGAGAATTAAATAGTAAATCAGAAAAAGAAATAATCCAAATTGCCACTGAACATATAACAAAATGCCACATCATTATTCATAGTCACTCTCTATGACTCTCTAAACAGCCTAATTTTTTTTTAATGAGCAGAATATATTTATTGGGGGGAAAGAAAGCTCCTGCCTGAGAAAGGGACAGGAGGGGGGGCCTGAGTGGTTTGTCCCCTAAACAACTTAAATTAAAATGCAACTGTAATATATACCAAGCAGCGTTGTTAAATTACAAATCCCTAAATTTCAGTGATGTAAAATAGGGTAGACAGTTGAACTGAAAATCTCAACCATTACTACTAGAAATATTAAGGTACTTGACCACTTTGTGTAATAGTAAGCAGCTGTGATGGAGAATGGGAAAATTCCTCTAAAATGGGAAAATGAGATGTACATATGCAATATTGCTGAGAAATTCTACTTCTAGGAATCTATCTAGTCAGAAAAAGAACAATTTGTTCATCAAAAATGTTTGTAAGAGTGCTTATAGTAATATTCTTCACAATAACTCCAAAGGTTCCAGAATAACACATACATTTAACTGAAATCACTGCTACATTTGTTTATTTTTTTCCATAATTTTATTGAGAAACAAATAGCAATGAGACAGTTTCAAACCAAATCGGTAGGACAGTTTCAATAATTAACACATTGCATACATTCTTCCTAGTGGTTAATTGCTGTACAAGATGCGGACATGATATCCTATTTACAAATATTAATAGAACAAATCCCTCTATTCATTAAGAGAATGTAACTATATGGATATCCTAACCATTTTGAATACACAGACACAAAATGGACATTCATCTGTATCCCCTTCTTTTGTTAAGTTCCATTATTTGAATATTATGGGTGTTTTAACTCAGCAAAATATCCTAAAAGAGTCCAGTAATCCATAATAGTATTGGGTCTTCCGCTTCACAGGCAATGTCAGAAATTGTTGACCTGAGTCCCCTACAGCTCAACATAACAGCATGGCTTTACTTCTTATACTTCGTTTTTATACTTTTCAGCTGGATGGTTAAGACCAAGGTAAAGCAGGACCTATGCAACAAGAGTTGTAGCTTTTGGGTCTGATAAGGTCAGTGAAATCCCCTCAGGATTTATGCTGAGATCCTGTACCTCAGATTGTAGAACCTTTGTCAGTGTCAGCCATGTGGATGAGTCACGGCCATTGCTTGGCCAATGTGCTCTCTGTGAAAGTCTGAGAGAATGTTTTCTCTCCATGTGACTCTCTTTAGGCACACTCTACGTCATCGATCACTTTCCTCTTTGGCCTCATAATCTCCTTGATCAGAAAATTTGGGACACTACCAGGTTACATGACATTATATACATTTGTTTAATAAAAATTAAGATTTAATAATTATTGAATAAAGAAATGACAGGACTGTGAAAAACCAATTTACTTGAGTATTATCTTGAATAACGAGTAGACTTAGAAGGCACCTCACCAGACATGAGAATTTCAGACGTTCTGTCTTCCTCTGGAACACTATACTGCGGGTTCAGTGCTAATTACATTTACAAGCCTGGCTTTTTTTTTTTTTTTTTTCATTTTTTTTCTTGTATTTTAGTACAGGGTCTCACTACATAGATCAGACTCATATTGATCGCCTGTTTTCAGCCTCCAAGACCTGGGATTACAGACTCATGCCACAGCGTCCAGTCTCAGTCACCATCTCAGATCGCCCCGGGGGCAGGGCCAGCACAGCACTCCAGGGATCTAATCCCAGCTGCTGCATCTGCCTAAGAAAGCAATTTAATCTGCTAAACTATTTGGTTGGCCCGTGAACTCCATTTCTTAATAAACTATCTTAAAAATTTTTAAATCATTCCCCTGGCTGTTAACAGATACTGATATTAAAAAGCTTTATTGCGATAGTAAAATGATCTTCAGTGTGAAAAACTGACTATGAAGTGACTATGAACTGATCTTCAGTGTGAAAAACTGACTATAGGGCTATGACTTTGTAGTATTTACCAGTCACTGCACACCCAAGTCATTAATTTTCCATGCACTTTGAAAAAAATCTCAACTATGAAAACTATCTGAGCCAGAATGCTGTTCTCTTCTGTATTAATCATATTTGATTAATGTGAAGTGGAATATCATTAAATAATCTTAATGCAGGTGTGTGGATTAAAGCTAGTCTACAGACTTCATGATACAAACATTGACAAATGATGTGCAAGGTTAAGTTTGTACAAGTGATTTATCTGTTATCCTTAAGTTAAAATTAATTTTTAAACTTAGATTCATAAGACTGGCTTAAAATACATCCAACATTAAGCTAATATACTACATTTACACAATTTGACCACATTATTATATATTTAATATATAATGAATACAAAAAGAAAGAATTAATCAGAATTTTAATTTTACCTTTTTCAACCTTCTAGATTCACTATTTTTAAATGCTAGTGGTATTAAATATGACCTTTATTCTTTCTTTACAGACCTTTCAGAAGAGTTTCATTCCCACCAATTAGAGCCAGTATATATATTCTTAAATTTTAGCTATAATTCCTACCATGACTTTCCTGTAAACAATATATTCAGATGTTTCTATTCTATTATGTGAATTACTTACAGAATAAATGAATATACGAGGCTTGGTGGAAAGATTCCAAAATCAGTCGTCTGAGATCCACACCACAGATGATCTCTTCTGTCACCTTGCCTTAGTAGAGTCATTTGAAAAACTTTAGACAGGTAGGTATTTATCTTGCTTTCCAAAGGCAGAAATTTTATAACTTATCTGCAACTTACAGTGTTAGGCAACCAATGGTTTTTGGAAGGATGCATTTATAGAAAAAATTATTTCAACAACACCCAGAACAAGGAATTTTATTTATTAATTTCTTTTTTCACTCTAGACAATGTTTTAGCCCTTTGAACATATTATCTTAATGAATATTTATTACCTTTCCTCATTATAGTTAACAATAAAAAAAGTGTCTAAGGACAACATTGAGATAAGTATGATGCCTGGTAAAGCATATTCAGAAAATAGAACCTTCTTGAGATAAAATGTCACTGATATGTATGAACCAAAATATTTTCTGCAATTACACCCTCATATCTTATGTACTAGTTATAAAATTGTGTGTTTAATTACTTGCTTTAGAAGATGTGAGGGATCATTTAATATGCATTTAATATCATGTAGTCATTTAGTTGAAATCAGTGTTCCCATTGGTTGTCAGTATTTGATTCCTCCAAAAATCCCTGGATATAAATGAAAAATGAAGGAGAATTTGGTGAGACATTAATAAAACCTTATGATTAGACAGACAAATGCACAAGTAGACCCAAATATAAATTACATTTCAGTCTTTATTCTTCTTGAGTTTTGATTTAATTAATTTCTATTGATAAATTGCTTCAAAATCACTATCTTTTGCTGTATTTAGTACAAGGATCAAATTGTTAAATATATTCCTTATCTATGTTATCAAGGAACTGTTTGTTTAGCACTCTGTCTGACCCTTTCTTACAATATTCATCTCACTCCCACAATCACCTATCTTTTCATGCGAGATGCCAACCTTTTCCCCGGGAACATCTAACCTGTTATGTATAGATTAACATCTCCAAGTTCAGTGTTACAATATGTTGGTTCTTTTGATCATTTTATCTGTCGAAATTTTTTTCTTTGCTTTTGTGCTTATTCATTTTAATTAAATTTCAAACATTATGCACATAAGACTAAAACAGAAATAGATAGATAGACAGATAGATAAATAGATACATAGATAGATAGATACACACACAGACAATGGAATTCTGAGAAAACATAATTTCTTGTATGATTCAGTTGGGACAGTCTCTGTAACAAAAGACATAGTAATAAGAGAAGAAGGAACAAGGTTACTAGTTAGTGCATTCATTGCACATCATAAAGAAGAAACCTCAAATAAAGGAAATTTAAAGCAATAACTTTAAACTCTCTCTTATATAACGTCTTGGAAAAGGAAAAATAAATTTGTAGCAATGTCGCAGGATAAAAGAAACACTACATCTATCCCAAGGTCTAGAAACTATAGGTCAATACACATAAAGGAAGAAATTGATAGAATCTTTTAAAGATTTTTTGTGACATCTCTAGGCTGATAAGGGTTATCATAAGAAAAGGAGAATTAATTTTCTGACTTCAGGCAGAAGAGCTCCAGATAGTTTTCTTCTTGTTGCCCCTAATATGCTTTGAACTCAAAAATAATTTCAGCATAAAAGAAGAAGATTTGGTAACACATTCATGGGAGTATCTCTTCAGACAGGCTGTCAATGTGGGAACTGAGTCAAACTAGTCAGATGTTGAGTACTACTTGAATTTTGGGGTTGGTATAACAACTTTTCATTGTTTAGCACTGTCTGAAATTTCCTCTAGATGTAGGTACCTTGAACGTACAGTGAGAACAGAATGACGTGTATTTCCCCCATGTTCCTTCAATTTGTTTCCAGACATCTCTATGCAAGTGACAGGTAAGCCTCTCTACTCTCTGGCATCCTGCAGGGGCCCACTGCTCCACTTGGCTGGTCAGACCTTGGTAATAGGCTGAGACAGGAGCTCTCCATGGTCCTGTCCCAGTCTGGAAGTCAGGCAAGCCTGGAGTTGAGATGGAAATTTCTCACTGATTCTGCCCATTTTTGTGTCATCCTTGCTCAGGGGCCATGCTAATTTTCTCTGTATCATTCCAATTTTAGTATGTGATGGCAAAATGAGCACTCTGTCCATTTTCTTCATGATGTTAAGTACTTCCTTAAATCATTGGCAGGTCTCATGTGCAATGAGATTTTGTTCTCTCTCTCTCTCTCTCTCTCTCTCTCTCTCTCTCTCTCTGTCTTTCTCTCTCTGTCTGTCTTTCTCTCTCTGTATTAGTATGAGACATTTTATTTTAAAGAGTAAAAGCAGAAATCAAAGCAAAAACAGTAACAGACAACAATATATATGGTACAGAATTTCAAAGCAAGAATGAAACATTAACAATTGTTATATTATTTATTTTTATCATCAAATCTTTTGTTCAAATTAACAGATATAGTTAGGCAAGATTGATCAAGTAATTAAATATTAACAATTGCTTTCAATATGCCTTATTCCTTTAATGTATTGATAGTCTTTTCCTGGGATGATTTCCTGCTCCTCTTCTAGGGTTATTCTCCTGTTTTCCATATTCTTTCCTCATTCTAAATGGGGCTGCATTAATGCTTTGGGGTTTCAGTGCTTGCTACCCAAGCCAAGGTGGCATTCCTCAGAATGAATTTTTTTAAATCTAATTTTCCTGCTCAAGTAGTCTTTCTGTTCCTGTCCATCATCTTTCCTAATGTTCTTTTGTGGTTCACTACAAAGCAGCTATACTGATGCCAAATTTCATTGTGTCTGAGTCTCAGAAAAATGGCATTCTCTCAAGCCACTAGTTATTCAAACTTCAACAATGTGTGAAGAACTTTAGTTGTATTCTTAGCTGCTTATAGTGTATCTGCACTCCCTCCATTCCATGCTCTGCCACTTTGCTATTTTCCCTTTCTCCTTTGGTTGTCCAGTTTGCCTTAGATTTAAGACCACTTGTTGCCCTTTGATCTCAAATGAGTTAAATGAAACATATCACCATGTACAGTGTTAATTGTGGGAGCATTCTTTTCCATCACAGTTCTTTAACTGAAGCAAAAGTAGAATTCATGATAAATAATATTTTTCTTGGTATTTTTTAGGGGAGGGTCTACAGGGTATTCAGGATCTCACTACTAGATTGTACTCCTAGAGATTTGCCTGTTTATAACCTCCCAAGATCTGGGACTACAGGATCACACCCCCCCCAGTTTTAATTGCCATCTCAGTGCACCCTGGGGATCAAGCCCCCAGCCCTTTTGCCTGCTTGCAGGTATATTAATCCACTGAATATTCGACCAGCCCTCCAAGATAAATAATATTTAAATTAAAACCTCGCAGTTAAAAACATACACTGTTGAGACCCAGTCCTAGCCCAGGTCCAGTGAGTGTGTGGAGAGCTTCCTGCTACCCGGCACCGGCGGGACGAGTCCCAGCCCAGGCACAGCATGGGCTGGACCCTCTCCCGCCCCCTTGGGCCGCCCCCCACCACTCCGTCATACGTCCCCACCCCTCCCGCAGAGTAGGAATTTCTGCCGAGTTCCGGAAACCCCCAGACCCAATCCTAGACCTGGTCCGCAGCGGGAAGGAGATGAGCACAGCAGCCAGACCTAAGCCAGACTCAGCTGGATAACTCCAAACTCTGTAGAGCTCCACCTGAACTTCAGTACGTGTGAAGGTTATAACTACAGCAAAGATCTACAACAAAGGACAGA